GTGAGCGTCGGTGTGCTAATGCAGATTACCTGAGCAGTCAGGTGAGCGGATGTGGGCGGGACCTCCGATTTGCCCTGGTTTCATTGGTTGAAGATCAGATCAGATCTCAGATCAGGGGATTCTGGGTAAAACCAGACGGTGAACGTTGAACTCAGTCAGGTGATGAAGTGTGGGAGTGATCTCCATTTCCTGTTACTGCATTTAACTTCCTGTCCTGCAGCCTGTCACAATAAAACTCCATCTGATGGTTTGTTAAATCTGCAGGATTTCCAGTCTGATCAGGATTTTCACATTCTTCTGGATTTTTTACGCTAAAAAGACACAAAATTAAATGTTAAATTTGCTGAACCAGTAAAACGATAAATAAATATCTATATACTCTTTGCATTAAACTTGTCTCTTCGTCTTTCTTATGGGGATTAATTAAATTTCTTAGAATCAAGATTTGGATAAGTATATATGGGTTAGGGTAACCTTAACCCTATTTTATTTTCTAATTGTTAAAATTTACTTAACTAACATAACTTGACTTTAAATCAAGAAAATAAATGTAGTTTTTTTTAAATCAATATATGCATTTCTGTATCATTTTATACATAAAATTGATAAATACCAAATTTATCACTTTTATGTTTTATTTGACCTTTTATATTTTATTTTGTGATCTATTTTTAACCACATATTTATTTCTGAATATTTTTCTTCTTCCTGCATTTATTTATTTGTGCATCATATCCTTATATAAACCATCTTCTACATTTATTTTATGTTTTATAGATGCATATTTGGCTTTTAATTTAAATTTTACTGTATGAAGTGATTTATTCATGAAAATATCAAGAAAATATTGTAAATATAAATGTCTGGAATTAAAAACAATCACTATTGTGTCAATATTATCACTAGTTGATTTTACAAAACAATTTGAAAAGATTAAAAATAAAAATGCTGGAATGAATGATGGGGAGATAAATGCGTAAATATGACTGAAAACTGAGGAACAAATAAATAAATATGGGTTTTACCACTAAGGTCATTTTAGATGGAACATATTTATATATTTTTGTCTTGTATGGCAGCACCTGGTCCTTCATGTTTACTCATGTTACAGATTATTTTTCTTTCATTTCTTCCCCCAGTTTTAAAATAATTATTAATCATAATCGGTTCGGCCGCCCAGGGCCGCGTCCAGCCTCCCGCCGCCTCTGGTCGGACCTGCCGGACCTTCAGCAGGTTGTGACGTTTCGCTTCAGTATCAATGACATCATCACCACCAACAAGCTGCGTCCTCGTGTCAACAGTGAGGTGACGTAATGCCAAGCTGAGCTTCATTGACGAGTCACGTGACTCCAGCTGGGAGTTTCACTGATAATGAAGATATCAATAGTTTTATTGATGGAGACGCTCTGTGTTTGTCCTGTTGAACGAGATGCGGGACGTAAATTAGAGCGCCGACTGTGGAGACCGGAAGTGTGACTGTCTTCACAATAAGAGCACAGATCCATTCATATCGACCTACAGCTCAAACAACCTACAAGCTTGACTCTGGTTTTCTTTTCTTTCTTTCTCTCTCTTTTTTTTTACAAACAGAAACGTTGAAAATAAATAAACTTCTAGGAGCTCCTCTTTCAGTCTGCAAGACATTTAAACACATAATATGAAAAAAATATATGGGACATAAAAGTATGTCAATGAAATAATTAGTAAACTAAGAAATGTAACAAAATGATCAAAATCAGATGTATGAAATATGTCGCTGCTGTGTTTTAGTGTTTAAATACAATAATTTTTTGAAGAATTTGAATTCATGTGGAACAGCAACTTTTAATTTCCCTTTGGGATCGTTGGGAATTATTTCAATAATTTTTTAAAATGTTTAGTTAATTTTGTTTAATTAAATTAGTTTTTCGTTTAATAGAATACATACAAGCTATTTGATAAAATTAATATATTTAATAAAGTATATTTTATCTGTGATGGACAGGTGACCTGTCCAGGTGACCTGTCCAGGTGACCTGTCCAGGTGACCTGTCCAGGTGACCTGCCTCTTCCTGGAGAGGCACCAGCACCGCCTGACCACCAGGGACAAGGGCGTAAGAAAACGGATGGATGGATATTTTATAAAGTAAAATATACTATCTTAAAATATATCATTAGTGATGCATTTTATCCGTTATTTAGTGATAATGGGATTTATCACTAAACAGATTAATTCTTTTCTTTAATATTCTTGTTTTATTATTTTTGCCACAATTAATTTTCCATTATCATTTTTAATTTACCTTTAAATACATACATTAAAATTATCCTAAATAATAAAACATCTCGTATGTAATGAAAATGCATAATTGTGGGCAGTCTTTTAATTTGAAGGCCGCGTTGGGGCTCTTCCGGTGTCGTAGGCGCTAACGCGGTGCGTCTTGACGCAGCGGGTTGCCGCTGGTGCGTCAGGAGGAGACGGGCGGAGAGATGCCATAACAGCAGCAGCATCAGGACCAGAGAGCGAACCCCCAGCAGAGACCCGAACCTCGTCCGAGCTCCGGCCCTGCGGGTCGCCTCCCATGCTCCACCCGCCCCGCAGTGCGGCAGTGCGGGATCCTAACGCAGGACAGCGGCGGGGAGCGGCGGCATCTGGAGCGGAGGTAAGAGGAGGAAGAGGAGGACAGGGCGTGGAGGAGGGGGGGCTGGGACCGGACTGTCTGGGATGACTGCAGCCGGAGGCGGCGCATCCCGGCCGGGCCGCCGCAGATCAGAGCCCGCGGCCCGCTGGGAGGAGCTGGACCAGCCGCTCGGATCCTACGGCGGCCGCGCGTGCGCGTTTGCGTGGCTCAGTTGAAATGATGATGTTGATGATGATGATGATGTGACAGATATGAGCAGACAGCGCTGCCAGGTTGCATCCAGTCAGGTTCAGGAAGGTCACGTGGTGTGACGTATGACAGGTTAGTTTCCGCTCAGTTCTTAAAGCTCCGCTGATGGTTGAGGCGCAGAAACCTGGATGATTCTTTAAATCACCGGAACAGAGTCAAGGCTTTATTGGGCCTCTGGTATTTTAATCAGGACTTTGACTAGGCCATTGTAACAGTTTGACCCTTTTTTGGCCATTTTGTTTAGGATCAGCTGCTGTGTTTGGGTTGGTGGTTCTGGTGATGATCTGGTCTGGTTTGGACCCAGAACCAGCTGGAGCTCATGGTCCAGTCAGCAGCTCCACTCAGATCCTCACAGAACCAAAACGGATCCAACTCAGTCCGTTCAGATCGCGGACCTGGAGCGTTTCAGAACCAAAGGGGCGTGGCCTAAAGCTGTAAATCAATCAATCCAGAGTGTTAAATACAAACCTGTTACAATCTGCAGCAGATTAAACGTGTTTCTGAAACCAATCGGACCTCAGAGGACGATTCTATGGTTCGGTCTGTGATCCCGGTGGGTCGACTTGAACCCGCCCGTCCGGGTCGGACCGTCAGTGGAGCGAAACTGTTTTTATCGATGACAGCGTGGGTTCAGGATCCCTGCTGCAGGATGTAGTTCAGGCTGTTTGTGGGTGTGGCCTCCATTTCCCAGGATGCACTGCGGTTTGTCGGCAGGCCTGTGAAGATGAGCGTGACGTCATGGTTCCTGGTGAGCAGCTCCGGCACGCGGCACCGCCTCCCCAAGGAGATGATCTTCGTCGGCCGCGAGGACTGCGAGCTCATGCTGCAGGTGAGGAGGCATCCAACCATCCAACTGTACATCCAACCATATAGCCAACCATAGAGCCATACATCCAACCATCCTTCCTTCAATTTTCTCCTCTTCCTCTCTTCTCTTCGTCTCTTTGTTCTTCCTCCATTATTTTTCACCTTCATCACTTGTTCCTTGTAAAACTCGTCGTCGTCTTTTATCTCGTCTCCTTTAAACTCACTGATTAATAGTGTGTGTGTGTGTGTGTGTGTGTGTGTGTGTGAACAGTCGCGCAGCGTGGACAAGCAGCACGCCGTCATCAACTACAACCCAACAACCGACGAACACCTGGTGAAAGACCTGGGCAGCCTGAATGGGGTGAGACACACACACACACACACACACACACACACACACACACACACGTTTCTCTAAGCATGCCCCGCCACCCTGTGACATCACAGCTCTCCACCAATCAGCTGCAAGAACACATTGGAGTCGATTGATATCAAATCTGATGATTTTCTAGAGTTTTTGATAATTTTTATTGAATATTTTGTAGTTTATTAATAAACTGGATCAGAGATCAAATCTGATCTGATTTCTCATTTTTCCTGCAGACATTTGTGAACGACCTGCGGATCCCTGATCAGACCTACATCACACTCAAACTGTCCGACATCATTCGCTTCGGATACGATATCCTTCCCTGTGTGTGTGTGTGTGTGTGTGTGTGTGTGTGTGTGTGTGTGTGTGTGTTCACTGATCCTGTTCATGCAGATTTAGTTTTTCCTGAGCCGCCTCTGCACATTCTCACGTCTACGTTCTGGAGAAAAGTCAACACAAAGTCCCAGAGGAGGCGCTGAAGGTCAGGTCACATTTCAAGCTGCTGGCTGGAGCGTTGTGCACGAATCTAGTTTATTATTTCATCAACTTTCAAGTGGATTGATGTAAATTTGATCCAGAACACAAAAAGCATCAGATTCTGAAAGACCAGTGCCGTTTGGGACAGCGTTGTTAAAACAGGAAGTGATTTTGATGCAGAAGAAAAAGAAAATGGCTTCCTGCTCTGCTACTGCAGATTTCTTCTCTTTTATCTTGTTTAGTGAATTGTTACAGATTCTTTTAATGTATAAAATAAAGTAAAAGCATGCTTTTATTCAGAATACCAACAATATGAAATTAAAACATTCAAACAGAAGCAGGTTCTTTAAGGACAGCCAGGCATGTTGGGTGATGTAGTTTTATTCAATAAGTGGAAAAAACAGAAAGTATTAACTTATTAACTCATGCAGCAGGTCAAATGTGAACAGCTGCAGCTGTCAGAGCGTTTGAATCTCAGACAGTTTCTCCTCTTCGTTTCTCTTCTGGATTTTTCCTGGTTCTGTTTTTCCTGACTGACTTTGTGCTTACGGGTCGCCGGGTGAGAACTTTGAGCTCAAACAAACGTTTTTGTTTTGACAGCATGAGAAGTACAGCAGTCAGCTGCAGATGAGCCTGAAGGCTGCAGAGGGGAGGAAGAGCGATGAAGAGGAGGGACAGCGAGGCGACAAAACGACGAGCACAAAGAGCATCACACAAGGTACGAACCCGAAACCGAGAGAGGAACCCGGCTGGTCCGGTCAGCTGGCCAGGAGCTGCTGCTGACTCAGGGATTTTCTGATGACCTGGTGCACATTTTACATTTTGCTAATCTGCAGTTTTAGTTCATCTCCAACATAACAGATTATGACAACAGGAACTTTGTTGCCGTCTTTTCCTTCTACCTGGAGACTTGTTCTTGTTTCGGGACTCTGGACTGGTTCCCTCCAAACATCTGTCCCATAAACAAATACTGACTCACTGTCTGGCCTTAGATAATCTGCTAATAGCAGAGTTAATGTTTCACTTTCTGCTTTTGCAAACTTTACAAACATTTAGCACACTTAGCTTCCTGTGAAGAATTTTTTCCAGATAAAATGTAAAGCACTAATTTATTTGGCTGTTTGGTAAACTTTTATTTTGAGCAAAGTTCATCATCTGTGTTGAAATTTTGGTTATCAACTGGTAAGGATTTGTAATATTTATATTCATGCTCTTATTTTGAAATGGGTGAAGACTGTACACATCAGTTCTGTTTCCTCTCTTCATATTCTCTTTTTATCATGAATTCTATCGAGCAAATGGTAAATATGCAACAAATGAATGAATGATATTTTAATGGTCTCACTATGGTGTCTTGTACCAAAACTAACCATCAGCCAAACTCTTTTCACAAGAGTCAGGATTAATTAGTTCTTCCTTTATTTCCATGTAGAATGGAGTGAAACTGCCAAAACACAAATAACTCAGGATGAGCTCAGAGCAGCAAACAGTTAGCGGTACCCCCCATGGTTACTTGGATGTAGACAGGAATGTGTTTCCAGAACCATCTTTTGGTAAATGTGTGTGTTTCTGACAGAAACCCCGGTGAGTCGGCCCACGCCTCTGTATGGCCAGCCCTCCTGGTGGGGAGAGGAGGATTATGGGAGTAAAGTCCAAGGCAGTGACGAGCCTCATTCAGGTAGATGGTTGTTCATCAAACATCTGGAGGATTCGTACTTGTGTCTCATCAGCTGTTGTGTCTATAAACCAGATTTTCCTGGCTCTCTCTCCGACGCCCAACCAAAGACCATCTTCCCTTCCTACCACCGCGAGCCCAGCTACTTCGAGATTCCCACCAAGGACTTCCAGCACCAGAAAACCTCAGAGGCGGAGCTCCATGAGATCCCCACCAAGGACACGGACGCCCCCAACGCCCCGCCCTCCCCGCCAACCCCGACCCCGCCCGTCGTGCAGAGCCACGCCTCCTTCACCATCGAATTTGACGACTGCATGCCTGGCAAGATCAAGATCAAAGACCACGTCACCAAGTTCTCGACTCGCCAGAGGAAGGGTCAGGCGCCCCCCGCCAAGACCGCCACCACCACTGCACCCGTAGAGATGATGTCAGCGCAGAGCAAGGTGGCTGATTGGTTGGTCCACAGTGATGTCAGCATGATGAGGAGGCATCCGCCATGCGAGGACGTCTACAGCACCAAGAGTGACCTTGCCATGAACATCAAGACCCTAAAAGGTCAGAGAGGTTGCTTTGGTATTACTATGATGCTGTAAAATATTATGACCACCTGTACAAAGTTCCTTCTTCACCAAACGAAAACAAAAATGGAGTAGCATCAGATTTTAGCGGTTGGAGGATTTCTCTTTAGTCTTTGGCTAAAGTCCAGAAGCCATTTCTCCTGCTAGCACTAGGCTAGCACATTCGTTTTGGTTGTATTTACCCAGAATGCCCTGCGCTGTAGTCCACTTCCTGCTTTTGGAGCGCTCTCTGGTTCACTTGGTATTCACATATGCATTCAAACCAAACCAGAGTTCACTTCAACTGAACCCAGACCAAGGTTTGTATCCTGGTGTTTGGCTTTTGGTTGATTGCGCATTTAAACCTCCCCAAACGAACTGGACTTTCTAGATAAACACACTAGAGTTTGATTAAAGAGAACTGGTGGGCATGCACCCTTAAACATAAAAGTGTATTGATCAGATTATTCTTTTACCAGGTCATCATCATGAGGATGGAACCCAGAGTGACTCTGAAGACCCGGTTCTCAAAGCCAAAAGTAAATCCCAGCACTCTGTCCAGTCAGAGCAGCCTGATAAACCTCAGCAGACTTTCCAGTCCAGTCAGCAGCCGGTTCCAGCACAGAAACTCCACCATGTGCTGCAGTACTCTCCGCCCAGACAGGCCCCTGCCTCAGCTGTGGCCCCTGATCAGCCCCTGTCCCAGAGCCCTCCCCAGCCACCGTCGCCCACAGAAATGTCCAAACAGGGACTGTCTGAGCACCTCACCCAGCAGGCCTTCATCATCGAGTTCTTTGACGACAACCCGCGCAAGAAGCGTTCACAGTCCTTCACCCACAACCCCGCTCACGGCGACTCTTACTCCACCCTCAAGGCCAAGATGGAGCGACGGAAAGGCGGCGAGAGGCCGGCATCGATGCATGGACACATCCCTCCCACTCAGCAAGTGACGGTTCCCCTGAAGGGTCAGGGCCACAGTGGCCCTCAGAGGTCAAGCTCTCTAAAGCGGGAGAAGACAGAAGGGGAGGCAGGTTCATCAGGCTCCTCCTCTCGCTCTTCATCAGGCATCATCATCAGACCTTTTGGCAGTGTTGGGAAGAAGTCAAAGCTTGCCCAGGAGTTTGCTGCAGAGTTCCTGAAGGACTCTGGTCAGAAGGATTCCTCCCCAACCAGAGACAAAGTCTCTCCTCCACCGATGTCTGCCCCACCAGTGATGGTTTCGCCCCCTCATGCCCAGATCCCTTCCCCACAGGAACCTCCAGCACTTTCTTCAGTTTCCTACCCCTCATCCCCGTTACAACCTCCAGTAGCCTCAAAGTCCTTCAAACCAGCCACTGGTCCAGCCCAGGTGGCTCCTCTGGGCCAACCATCTGGACCACACATGTCCCCCATGTTGTCTTTGGGAGTCCATGGGGGAGACCCCAAAATTTCCCAGAGGATTGTGAGGAATGAGGAAGATGACAGCCTGAGTGATGCCGGGACTTACACCATAGAGACCGAGTCGCAAGACAAGGAGGTGGAGGAAGCCCGCAACATGATTGATCAGGTGAAGTGACCATCAGTCAACACATAAGTATGAACTGTATATTTCTTAACTTTATGAAAACAGGTTTAATTGTAACAACTGATGCATGAAACTTCTTGTCCTTCTTGCTTTTTCCTCCTGTGTGGTCACACCACTGTCTCATGCATGCCCTGTGCCAAACAGGTGTTTGGCGTCCTTGACTCTCCAGAGTACAGTGACGCGACCACAGGAGTCTATAGACCGGTCATACATGAAGGCAAAGATGAGCACCATACCTTGCCTGGTGATGGTACCAGTGTGGACCTATTGCATGGCTTTATCCCAGCAGCTGTCAGTGCCCCCCCAACAGGTCCCATGCAGGTAACACTGGAAAAGACCCAGGACAAATGTTGGAGCATGTTGTTGTCCAAGTGCATGCACACTGGTGTTTGTGCTCCATTCCTCATGTTACCAATTTCTTTCTGCCCAGTCTTGGTTGGTTCTTTGTTATCCTGGTGTTTGGCCTTGTTGTTCATTACTGTTTGTGTTCTAGGTTCAGATTCACGCAGCCGATCTTGAAGGACCTAAATGGGTTTCTCGGTGGGCCAGTCTGGCTGACAGCTATGCTGAACCTGGTTCTACTCCTCCTCAAGGGGAATGTCTTGAAGGTACTCAACATTTTATCTCATTAATTAAACAAAAACAAGTATATAATGTAAAGGGCTGTGGATTAAAATACACAAATCTATTCAAAAATGAGTCTGTAACATAAAGAAAAGTATAAAAATTGAAGGATAATAGTGACCCAAGTTGAGCTAACAAGATGTTGTTTTACAGATTTGCGTTACATGAGTCAGTCAGTGGGAAGCTACAGCTATGACACCTCAGAGTCAGAGACGAGCCACAGCTCCAGGACCAGAAGGCTGCTGCCTCAGGTTCCTCCAGACAAGGTGGAAAGTGTCACTCCAAGCATCCTGATACGGCATGAATCCTACCAAGGTCATAAATCTGTGGATAGAGTTTACGTTCCTCCCTGTTCCCAAGACTCCACCCAGCACCTAGCCATTCAGGATGACGTGGACCCAGACAGTCTCAGCGATGCCAGTCGCTCTGAGGATGGACCCGCTCTGGTTAATGCAAAGAAAATTGATGTAATTACCGGAAATGTGTCCCCAGTTGCTCCCGGCTATCAGTTTAAAGTTCAGGAGAAAGTTTCTCCAACCAACAAATCCACCTTCTTCTACATTGGTGCCGAGGATCAACCAGGCAAGCCTGAACAGGCCCGAAGCCCCGTACAGGGTGAGAGGACTCGAGAACCTCCGGCTAAAACTCCTCCAACAACAGTCTTGATCCGTCACTTGAGTGGACATGAACCCAGAAGGACAGGCGTCAAACCCAACAACTCTGCTCCAAATCTCCAAACACAAGACAAAGACTCTGTTCCTACAAAAGACAGCTACATCGTCCGTCAAGAAAGTTTCACCAAAGATCGACCCAGTGACACCGTCCAGATGAAGAAGCTTCCCCACATCTCCAGCCACCCTTCCATTAGAGATATGGAACAGAGCATCCAGGAAACACAGCCCTTCCTTCAGGAGTCAGAGGGAGCGCTGTCCTCTCTGGACACCAAGATTCCTTCTTCTGGTTCTGGTCGTAGCTCAAAGAAAGAGGGTTCCTCCACCCACATGGATGATTCTCTCTCTGGTGAGTCAGATGTGGATACAGCTAGCACCGTGAGTCAGGTGAGTAGCAAAAATGCTCCTGTTAACTCCACGTCTAAAAAGCGACCTGCCATAAGCAGCCTTCAGAAGGAGAAGTCCTCTTCTAGCCCGTCTATCCAAGAAAAGGGTCGACAGCTAAGTGCTCGAGAGCGGCTTTCTGAGAAACGACGCACACAGACAACAACTGACGTGCCAAGCAAGGCAGAGGCAACAAAGCGTTTCCAGATGCGCCGCAGTACAGGAAACCGTGGTTCTCTGGATTTATCCGAAGGTCAACAAGGTACTGCACCTAACTGGACTGAAACTACTTCATCTGATCACGAAATTTCACATCCCTCCAGCCGTACCAAGAAAGTTATTGCCCCTCTACAGAAAGAGGACAATGGAAAGACACCTAAGTCAGCAGCTCAACAGGTTTTAACTCGTTCTAACAGCCTGTCAGCACCAAGGCCAACTCGAGCGTCCATGCTGCGACGCGCCCGCCTCGGTGACGCCTCAGACAATGAGGGCACAGAGACCGATCGGACCTCCCAGAACTCTGATCATATTTCCGCACCCCCTAAAGCTGAAGGTAAGAAGCTGTCCAGGCTGGACATCTTGGCGATGCCTAGGAAGAGAACCGGCTCATTTACGACTCCAAGTGACAACGAATCCTCGACAAGTCGGTCTGGCTTCTCTGGTCGCAACAGTGAACCAGGTGTCACAGCAAGGAAGACGTCTGTTGGTGATGCTCGCCAGGCAGCCAGTAAAGGCGGCGGAGCTCCGGTGAAGCAAACACTGTCACGTACCCGATCAAGCGGAGTTAAGCACCCCAGTGGTGGTGAGTCTACCAGGGATCCTCAAATCAGGCCTCCAGGGCCGGTATCCTGCAACATTTAGATGTATCTCTGCTGCAACACGCCTGAGTCACTAAAGAGTTCGTTAGCAGGACACTGAAGAACTGGACAACAAAGTGAGGCAGTGACTCAGCAATTTGATTCAGGTCTGTTGGACCAGGGACACATCTAAAAGTTTCAGGACACCGGCCCCCAAGAACACGAGTTGAGGACCCTTGGTCTATGTGTTGGCTTTTCTGACATGTATTTGCTAGCTTGTGTTGTTGTTTTGCCAAATATGAAGATTTGATTTTGTGATTCTTTTGGATTTGGAGGTTCAGTGTGTGTCCCTTTGTGTCTGTGGCTCAGACCTCGTTATTTAGGCATAGACTTTAACCATCCAAGCAGATAAACAGTTGACGCCTTTTGCTGATTATTTTTCAGGGTTGCGTCGCAAACAGAAGGGCTCAGACTTCTCATCTTCCTCTGAGGAAGAATACGACACAAACACTGGCTTCTCCAAAGCGAAGCGATCCTCTCATTCAATGACCGCTGGCCAATCACAGCGCAGCCAGAGGACAGCTGCTAGCAGAACCAAGTCTGTCTCCCTGGAAACCGAGGAGGACGAGGACCAGAACGACGTCGACCCGTACCAGAACTGGTCGACTCACAGCGCTGAGATTGCCAAGTAAGAGCTCTGCTGCCATCGGCTGCTCTCCTTCATCTCTCAGGCATCCACTGATAGTTTGGTTTGCCTTTCGACTGCAGGCTCAGTCAGGACCTGGCCAAAGATCTGGCCATCTTGGCGAAGGAGATCCATGACGTTGCCGGGGATGGGGATCCTCCTCCCACCACCACCTCCCCTAGTTCAATCCCCAACACGCCAGGCTCCACCATCTCTGCCCGGGAGGAGGTAGGAATCAAACACCCTCCCAACATGGCCACTACCACCATACCATCATGGCCTCCAAAACTGGGAACACGCACATCTATTCATGACCTACAGGGGGCAGTATCAATAACCAGAAGTTCTCTTCTTTCACATTTCTATACATTTTTAAGTCTGGATAAATGTGTCTGATTTTCCAGACACTCCCACAGCCAGTAAAGCTACCTCATCTCATCCCAGTGTTCCCAGTTTAGACGCTCCTGTTTCGGTGTTCCACTCTGGCGCTGGTCCAGTCATGCAGGAAGCTGTTTGTTTGTTTGCAGGTTGATCTGCAGGAGCTTCATTCTGCTTCAGACTCTTACAACCTTTCATATGTTTGTTCTTCTGCAAAGACGCCATGTGTTGCATTTCTCCACGGGGTTCGACCGGCTCAGGTGTCCAACTCTGACTCATCACCCACCCGCCCCCTCCTCCGGTTCCCCCTCCTCCGGTTCCCCCTCCACCGGTTCCCCCTCCACCGATCCTAACACGCCCCTCTAACTGTGTTGGATTGTTCTGCACTTTTGAATTATTGTCATCTCATCCTGTCTTGTGTGTCCAGAGCACCAAGCTGGAGTCAGTCGGTTGGATGAATATTTAGTTCAACCTGAGACTAAACACATCCAACCGAGGTGTTTGTGCCAAATTTACTAATTTAATTTTCTCCAACTGAGCTGATCCCAGCTTAATAAATTCACTGTCATCAAATCTCACCTTGACTAACTATTGATCCTTGCACTGCACTGCTGCACCGCTAACACATAAATCAGTGTATCATCGGCGTAGAGTGAAAGGCACAATCACCTTATTTTACACAGTAGCTTTCCTTCCACGTTCCTGTGGACAGGAGTTTATTTATGGAGGCAAAAATGACCATTATTTAATAAATAAATGAAACTTTAACAAATATTTTGCAATACAGAACAAAATAAAGTGAATAAATACGAAAAAATTACATATTTTAGTCTTCAGTGTATTAAAGTCACATTCTTATTAAACTTGTACATTATTTTATTAAGACATGTAAATAACTATTCATAAATTTATTGATTGAATATGTTTTAAATTTTATTTTATTTATTAAATGTAGATTTATTTAAGTTAATTATTTATTGAATTATGGGATTTTCTGATATTCATACAGGAACACCAAACCTGCAATAAATTATGAAAACATTAAAAGAAATATAAAAATTAGGTCTAAAATATACAGCTCAAAAAAATAAAGGCAACATTTCACTTTAATTTTGTGTGTGGCTCCAAATCCAGGCCTCCATTGGTTAATAAATTTGATTTCCATTGATGATTTTTGTGTGATTTTGTTGTCAGCACATTCAACAGAACAAAGTATTCAATGAGAATATTTCATTCATTCAGATCTAGGATGTGTTATTTGAGTGTTCCCTTTATTTTTTTGAGCAGTGTATATGGTTTACAAAAGCATATTTAACTTTTTAATTATTTCTGCAACATCTGAATGTATTTTTTGAAATTTTATTTCCTTTATTTAACCAGGTAAACCAGGAGATCTAGGTCTCATTTTCAACAGGGACCTGGACAGAAGTCTGCAATACACAGCAACCTGGTTACAAAATAAAACTAATTAATACATAAATAACTAACCAGCATCAGTCAGTGGGCGGGGCTAGCACTGAGCTAATTAACCAATCAGCTGATAGTTTATTTGATGAACCACAGTGATTTTATGTTTACTGCTTGACAGGGAAAAGCCAGTATTTATTTATTTATGTAATTTTTCAAAAATATTCCTTAAAATATTGACACAATAAATAATTGTAAAACTTTTTATTTGTTTAAAATCTTTAATTTAAAAACATTGTATTTTGTTTTGTGGTTTATGCAGAGTAAGACCCTCCAGTGTGTCCAGTTTCTGGTGTCCTCATGTCCCACAGCCTCCAGCTCCACCCTTAGTTCTGTTGATGAGTCTCCATCAGCCTGTGCTGGTAATGAACTGGTTTTACTGGTTCATGGAGCTGTGGCTGGGTTCTCTTGCACTCCCTGGTCCGACTTGGCGCTGTATCCCAGCAGAACCTGGACCTCCCTGTCGCTACCCACCATTGCAGCTGCATGTTGACTTGGTGCATGCGTTGATCTCCAGCCTTTGCTGAACCGGAGTGGTTTTGGATCATTTGGGTGTACTCTCTTTCCAGCTGGTCCATCGTATTCCTGAGGCCAGCTTAAACTTCCAGAAGGTTCCTCCAGGTTCTGCGGCCATCTTGGACCTGGACGCTAATATGAATGAGGCAGAGCCCACTTCTTTGCAACGCCGTCCGTGGAACCGTGAAGAGGTCACTGTCCGATCCCACCAAGGCCGCGTTCACACTGCAGCTCAGCTCAACACAAAGCTTAGTCTGGGAACGAATTCCCACTAAACTCAACGTTCCTGGTTTTAGTTTGCATTTCTCCAGCTTCACCATTTTTTCGGTTGTTGGTTGTTTTCAGATCATTCAGGACGCAGCAGCTGATTTGGAGGATTTCAGCCTCAGCTGATCCTGGATGGTTTAGGCGTCAAAATTACACGTTTTAATTCCTGGATTTATTCATCTCTGTTCAGAAAAGTTTAGATTCAAAACTTCACTTAAAAGTTATGGGAGATTTTAATTTCAATTTAAAATCACACAAGATTAGGACGGATGGTCTGCCCATCTCCGCCACTTCCTGTCTGTTAACCCCGCCCCCTGATGCTCTGGACTTCGATTGGTCCGCTCTGAAACTCCTTCCATTTCCTGCTTCGTATCTTGAAATGTTTTAAAACATCTTAACGACATGATGCTGCCACCGCCGAGCTTCACCCATGTGTTGATCGAGTCCAAACATCTCCGCTCCCGATCCGCCAGACGACATAAACCCAAAACCGAAGACGTCGTTTGAATCCTTCCAGGCTGCCGGTGGAGCGACGGCCTCTTCCTCGCCGAGCGGCCGTTCAGCCCGTCGGACTCTCACCGGCTTTTATTCTGACGCTGATTCATGTTTCTCACCAGAACCATCTGGAAACTGGGCCCAAAGCTGGTCTGTTTGTACATTTCCCATGAGTTGCATTAAGCAGGTTTCCCTCCAGTTAAGCCATGACATCGTCATCATCAGGGATTTTCAAATCAAAAGCCTGGATTAAAGGCATTGCAGTGTTTTATCACATTTGCATTTAGCAAATTTAAATAATGTAGTTATTCTAAAGGAGCAGAGCGGAATTTTGGTCTCATTTATTTGTCAGAATCATAATTTTGCTCATTTTATGTAGCATCAACACATCGTTCTGGTTTATGTGTGAAAGCAGCTCATGTTTTAGCCAAAGGTTAATCAGCTGCAGCAGCATCAGGAGCTCTAACCCTGAAGGTTCAGTCTGTCTCCTGATGGTGGCGCTGCAGGGAGTCTGATCTGCAGTGTGAACTCAGCCACGACTCCTCGTGTTTTCACTGAACGTTTGTCCGTCTGCTGCAGTCAGTTTTGGGTTTTCTGGGAAATCGGTGCTGATGATGAAGACGCTCTGCGCTCATCTTGGTCTCTGTGTTGTGGAAACTCTTCCAGGTGATCCTGGACAACCTGATGCTGAACCCGGTTTCCCAGCTGTCCCAGGCCATCCGGGAAAACACCGAGCAGCTGGCTGAGAAGATGAAGTACGCAGCGGTGTGAAGACTTTCTGCCTGCTCGGCTCCAGCTGAACTAACCGGATGGTTTCTGGTTTCAGGGTTTTGTTCCAGAACAAAGCAGATGTATGGGAGGAGATTGAGGCCAAGATCAACACTGAGAATGAAGTTCCCATTTTAAAAACCTCCAACAAGGTAACTGAGCTGCCATTTTTACAGCAGCATCCAGAGTTCAGCGCCTCCTATTCTAAATATTGTCATCGCTTGCAGGAAATTACCTCCATTTTGAAGGAACTGAGACGAGTCCAAAGGCAGCTGGAAGGTATTTGGGTTCAATAACTTCTGGTTTTAGTTGTTTCCCAGATGGCCTCAGAAAATACAAAAAGAAAAAAGAAAATACTAATTAAGCATTGATGGAGCGAATCAACCAGGCTAGCATAATTCCATCAGATGTTGACATTATTCTTCTTTAGTAAACAGGAAGTAGAGGTTGATAAGTAGCATGGAAACAAACTTTAGACGATTAGAGAGAGTCCTCCCGTCTGCTGAACGTTCCCACATAGAAATTTTCCCAAGATTTGTTCCTCTGAATAGTCTCAGACCCACCAACACCAACTTCAGCTTTAATAAACTGAACAAATTAAAATTCAAGGATCTGATTTGCTAATGGAGTGAAGCAACTAATGATCATGTCGTCTGCATAAAAGTTGACTTTGGATCTTAAAAATTGCTGCAAAGATCATTTTTATAAAAAGTGAAAAGCAGGAGTGCTAACATGCTGCCCTGAGGAACTCCTATGTCTCAGCTTGGCGGCCACGTTGTTTCCTTGGATGATCGCCGTCTGTTGCTTTACAGGGCGATTGCTGATGTCTTTCCTTCTCTGCATTTGTTTAATATTGGACCTAACATCACACAGACTGACAGTTTAAATGTATTTTTCTGCCCTGGATATTCAGCTTGGTTTTTTTAAATGCTGTGTTTTGTGTTTCCTGTCTTCCAGTCATAAACACCATCGTGGAGCCTGGTGGGGGTCTTCAGGCGGCCGCCATCACAACGCCGTCTCTGACTCAAACTCGCCAAACCACCAAGGAGAAGAAACCCGCGACCAGAACCCGAACCTCCAACGCCAACGAAAGCACCAAGCGACCGCCTCGTGGGCCTGATGGGTCCCACCACGCGCCCTGAGCGGGCAACCGTAGCACATCGGGACAGACGTCGTGCATCCACGCCACTGCGGTGTGAGACGGAGTCCCGCTGGGCGCTGTGTTTGGACCGGCGTGGTGTGGATGCGCTGAACCTGTCCAGAACAAAGCACCCATCTGTGCCCAGTGATTTCATCAGAACATCGTGATTGGCCACAGTGTATCTTCGTAGAGCTGCTTTCTCGTCGCACAAGCTCAACCAAACTTAGTCAACACAGCTGCTCTCACCACGGCGTTCTGCGGACAGAACTGTACAGAAGTGTATTAATAACTTTGTGCTTTGACGATCTGTTGTGTTGCATTTGAACAGAGGATAGAAACATCCTAATAGCATTCTGTGTATCTTTATAAGGTTTTACCTTTCTGCCCGTCAGATGGGTCCCACGCTGCTTCCACACTTCATGGACCGGGTCCAGTAGAACACCTGCTGAATGTTTCTCAGTTCTGCTGCCTGACCGACGACAGCCAGGCTCTCCGCCTGCTCCATCTCGCTGGGATTGTGCTGCTTCTGCTGAATGTTGCGAGTGTTGAATGTGGGAGAGACTCTGTGAAATAACTGGAATGTCTGCATGAGAGAAAGCTTAACGACTCCGACTGGTCCTCGAACGCATCGCCTCTCTAAAGGAATGAATCAGTCTGACAGATGAAAAGTAAAGCTTATTAAAAAGACCTGAGAACTTCTTAAAGTGGAACTCAACCTGCTGTGGAAGCAAAGCCCGCCGCCCAAAAATCTCAAAATTCTGGGCGGAGCCAGAACACAGTTAGGGGCGTGGCTAAGCGTGTGAATGAGCAGAGCGGGTAAAGTGGGGCTGTGGCGATGGCTGTGGCCCTGTTGTCAGCTTAGTAATAGCTGCTATAGTTAGCGACTTTTTTTAGCAACAGTAACTACTGACAAATCTAGCAACTTTTTCCAAAAAAAGCTTCTAGCAACAAATTTAACGCCTTTTTCCCCCAAAAATCAACAGACCAAACTTGCAACTTTTTACAAAAAAGCGACTAGCTTCCAACCTAGCGACTTTCTTTCTTTTTGTTTTTTTTACAGCGACTAGCGACTTTTTCTTCTTTATTGGAGACTTTTATTGTGACATGTGAAAACACCAGCTGCTGTCAGAGTGAGATGGTTTTATGGTTTTATCCCTGAACGCAGGGCTGTGTGACGTAGACATGAACCAAGCTGGAACCAATAGGAAAATTCATCTGCAGTACCCCCATTTCAACCATAAGAGGGCAGCACTGAAATGGCTCTAGGCTAAATATTGCAGAATTAAACAAATTTACACTAAAATGTCACATTTTACACAGAAACAAAGTTATCAACCTTAAGGACAAAACTAGACTAATTAAATGAAAACAGTTGATTATGGGTTTAGTTCCTCTTTATTGAGGAACTAAACCCATAATTGGCCTGGTTCAGTCTGTCAGTCACTAGGTTGTCTCCAACTCCAGGTCTGTAGAAATCTGATGTCTGTCTCAGTTTTAGAGAAGTATTTGGAGCTTTACGCGGTGGGAGGGCCGGATCGATATGTGAGTTTGTTTTTGTTTGTCCGTTAGCTGCTAGCTGCTAGCTGTGCTGTTGTTGCTGTGTGCTGGGCTAATGTTTGTGTTTTTCCTCCGTCTTTGTGTTAAAGCAGCTGAGACGTTCATATGTAGAGGGCTGTACAGGCAGTGAAATGATCCGGTTCATTTTCAGATAAATGAACGAAGCTGTTAACTTTCGGCTTCATTAGCCTAGCTTAGCAAACGGTGGGAATGCAAACCTGACGCCGTGCTTGGCTTTCATTCACTTTCAAACAAACTTCTACTTTCCTATCCAACTGGCTTCATCATGGAACCAAAAAAGTTTTTGTTTCATTTAGTAAAACAATGAAATGTTATTTAAACCAAAAACAGTTCAGTAGAAGCTCAAGCTTACTGACTTATTTTTATCTACAAACACTGAGACAAACAGAGACTCAGTGATTGAGCTCTGGGGAATCCAGCACTGATTTTGTTTATTGTTTTTGTTTATTGCTGCGGCATTTTTGGAAGGTTTTATTATTCAGCAACTAGATAAATATGAGACAGTTGAATATAGTGTGGTGTTTATTAGGTTACACAGCCCAAAACTAACAGAATTAATCTGGGTCAGTTGTCCTGTCATAAGAGTAGGAAACTGGGGTTAATTATTAAAAGTTATAGTTTAAAACCAAATCTTTAGCTGGCAAGCTAAATATTTAGTTTTAAGTAAATATGGATTTTGGAGCAAGGTAAATATTGAGCTTGCTAACTAAATATTTTGAAACTGACATTAAACATTTATGAAAAAAATTGTGAAAATATGACTGAGCATTTAAGCCCATTTTCTTCCTTATGGCAGGTTAAATAACCCAAATTATTTTTTGTTTTTTGGTATCTCATAGTAACCTGATATTTCTGTGTTGACTGACGTAGACAGGCATCTGTTTCCACTGTAAGCGCTAAGCTAGGCTAACTTCACTCTGGTGATTGTTTTGTACAAAAACACGATTCAATCTCCAGCAGAGATGAAGGATTCTCTATGGAAACCTATAAAACCACTTTAGAGAAATAAAATGCTACATGGCTTACCATAGATATGACAAAGTTTTGATTTTTACTTTGAAGTTTAAATATTTGATGGAAAGTTTCAGAAGTTTGACTTTTAATGTCAGAATTAAAGTCTAAATTAGGACTTTGAATCTGATGACAACTTCAAAAGTAACCATGACTTTTTTCATATTATGACTGAAAATCTAAATTATTACACTTGTGCTCATATTTCTAACTTTGTATCTCATATTTATATCCAATTATTATCATTTAGACTTTTTTTTTAACTTTCTACCACAGTTATGACTTTAAAGTCATATTTCTGATCTTGCATCCCATAAAACGTCTAAGTTATGACCTTGATTAATTGCAACTTCTAAAGTCATATTTATAAGTTATGATCCATTTTGCGATTATTCCTTCCTCTCTAGTGGCACATACGGGCCTCCATAGTTTCACTGACCTGTGGACTTGAAGTGTTGGGCTGGAGGAACCAGATATGGCAAACCTTTATTATAAAGTGCATGTTTCCTGTAGCTTGAGGCAGGTGACGTTTCGATGCTAATTCACCAAATGTGCACTTTTTCCATCAGATGAACAAACACCTGGAGAAAACAGGTGGAGCTTTTATTTATCCTTCATGCTGATTGTTTGGAGAATGTTTTATTTACGCAATCCTGACTGGGCGGCGCTGCAATGATGCAACAGCTGCTGCTGCAGCTGATTGGTGGTCTGGACTCCATGCGCTCTGTGTTTTGTTGCAGTGCATGCAGCTGAGTAGGAACAGCAAACATCTGCTCTGTTTCTCATTTTTTATGCATCTGATCAGATTATGGTGCTGCAGACGGACATGCGTTACTAACAAATGTTTCATATTTTCAAAGGATTTCCACACATCTGAACTCTTTTGTTTATCATCATTTCTTTGTATCATTCTGTCATTTGTAATAAACTGACTCCATGCACTCTGTTGGTGAACTGCAGGGAGACGTTTGTTATTCCAGAACGCCGTCGAAAACAGAACAAACCCAGAAACCAAAAACACCAAGAAAACATCCAAAAAAACTTAACTAGAAGAAAAAGGTCATCAGAGGTCAAGAATTTTAAACAGCGAGAGCCGGAAAAACAAGATCATTACAAACCTGATGTGAGATGAAAACGTTTTCTAAAAATTCAAAGAATACGAAGAGAAATATACAACGGTAAAATTCCACCAAAAAAACCTCAAATTTTGAGATTAATTTCTTTGAACAATGAAAATTTTAGTTTGAAAAGTCACAAATTTTCAACTTGGAATTTCAAAAGTTAAAAATTTGCTAGAAAAAAAATCAGAATTTTTTTTTTTATCAATCTCAGAAAATTACTTGGAAAAAAATGTGAGGTTTAAAACACAAAATTTCCAAAAGTCAAATTGTTTTATTTTTCATACTCAGAAATTTCCAATTTTTTTCGAGAAAATTTCTGAATTTTTTGGCTGAAATTTACTAATTTAATTTTTTATCTACACGGCCCTCATACGCCATCATAGAAATATGTCAAAAAATTAATAAAACATAAAACCTGCAGTTGCCCCGAGGGAGACTTGTTCAGGTAAATCAGGAAAATGTCGCCCCCTGTTGGGAGGGTTTTAAAAACACTTAAAAAACAAAAACAATGGCGTTTTAATCAGGCCTGAATTCAGCTGAAATAATTTTGGGGAAAAAAAAAGGAAAAAGGAAAGAAAGGCCAGAAAACCAATAAATAACTCAAAATGTTCTTACAGAACAAGAATACCTGCAGCTCCAATGTTTTGTAGATCATTTAAGGCTTTGTTTTGGTATTTCAAAATAAAAGCCCAGAGTTCATCAAACTATTTATTGATCTGTGAAAAATACGATTTAGAATAAATCAGGAGATGTTTCTTCAAAAAATACCAATAAAAATAAAATGAATACATCAAAAGTTTTTTTTTTTATTATGAGTCCTCAGAGGTCAGCCGTCCAATCATCTCAGGTGTGTTAGCTCCGCCTCTTCACCTGGGTAAAACTGCAGCTGTCAGACTCCGCCCATCACCAGCTCTGGAGGCTCCGCCCCCTCCATGGGTCGCCCTGCGCAGAAACCACCTGCTGACGTCACTGAGGTCACGGACGAGGGGTAAAGTGACGGGTTGCGACCTCACCTGCCGCCTGCTGGTGGCGCTGTGTGACATCATCGCTGACATCATCAGGAGGCCAGCGGAGCTCGCCGCTCTCCACCTGGTCTGCGTCACTGGGCTCCACCACGATGGAGGGCAGCCGCCGGCAGAGCTTTGGAGCGCGCTCAGTAGAGTCCGGAAACACCTGAGGGAGAGCCGGCCAATCAGAACGCAGCCAGAGCAGGAAGTAAATTCAGCAGCAGCGTCTCGTTAGAGCGGGAAACTGTCACGTTACGACAAAGCATAAAATTCATTAAAATGTTTAACGAGGTATGGAATTAGGAAAAATAAACTTTCATGGTATAACGAAGCATAAATTTCATTAAAATGAAGAACTTGCTTGTTTGAACAAGTTTTAAATCTCCTTAGAGTTTTCTCTTTTTAACAAAGTTTCTGGTTAAGATGCGGCAGTAAAATGCTTCCATACAAAGGTCAGGTTCTAAAAAACATTCAGGTGTCCAGAAATTTATAAAATAACATAATTACAGCTTTATCTGTTTCCTTTAATTGGTCTTTAAACTGTTGTTTTTATTGCCTGGATGAATCTGTTGGATCTGAAAAAGGGAAGAAAGGCCAGAAAACCTGCTATTGTGTTTCAGGTCAGAGTGGGACCTCCTCACAATAGACGGTCTTTGAGCATGGCTCTTTCTGATTGGTTCCTGTGCAGGTTGTGGGATTTGAACCCACAGCCTCCGTCAGTGTCGCTCACCTGTAGAGAAGTTGCTTCCTCTGGTGGAGCTCCGCCCACCGCCGAGTCACAGGTGTTCATCACCTGGTTGGTCATCTCAGCCAATCAGAGTTCAGGAAGCTGAGGATGATGAGAAGGAAACAGGATGTTCAGATTGTCCTTCGCTAACGTATTCACACACCACTTAAACATTCAACACATTCCAACCAGAAACTGGTCGGCTGGTTACAGTTAAAAATCTGAAAAGTGCGGAGTGTATTGAGACAGGCGGTGTGTGTGTGTTCTTGTGTGTCTGCACAAAAACACACACACAGACACTGTTCCTCACTAGTTCCTCAGAATCATAACCCACAGGAGAGGAAAAGTACGGAGCTAAATTAGGGCCGCAAAGTTTATTCAAAAGGGAAGAA